TTACATGATTCATTTTTTTACCTTCACCTGTTCTGTCGTCATTTCCGCATTTTTCATTATGGCAGTGTTCTGTTTACTTCCGGATTACATTTATTTTTCAGTTTATAACATCCAAATATTCAAACTGCCGGAAAATGCTCCCTGCAACTTGCAAATTTCGAATGCAAATGAGCCTATCGATAATGACATTACCGCCATGCTTGCAGAACATACCTCATAAACTAAACGTTTATCGAACATTATACAATTCTTACTGCAATTTCTTTTCTTTTTTTTTCTTTAAATAGTATGTAATGAAATTTACTGCAGTAGAAGTAAAATGCTTTTTCCTTTTCAAAATCTTTCGAATTACGATGTCTTACAAATAAAACTTCTTTTCTCTTTTTCTTTTTTTTTTATTAAATAAGCAATTTTTTTTTGATTTAAAGTAGAAATTTTTCTCTCAAAAATTTCGATTAATCTTTGATTTTAAATGATCAGAAATTGTTTGGAGTAAGTGAGAAAATCAGCGTGAGATTCAACGCAAATGTAAATTCGTTTATTAATTAATTAATTTAATTCGTTAAATGATTCGCATAAATTAATAAATTTTGATTGAACGGTTGCTAAACAATGAGTCATTTCAGACGAACTTATTTATACTGCTATCTGATATCGGACGATACGTTGCACCAAATGTCTCCGATGTCATTTATAATTATGGAATCGTATAATTGCTGGAATTGAACTGAACTGAATTGAATCCTTTTTTGCTTCCTTTCTATGAAATCATTTGAAGCACTCATTTCAGCTTCTCAAATTATCCAAATGTAATTTTCAATAACTTTCGTAATTCTCATCTAAAAATGAAATTTTATTCGATAATTAATGTTTGAATTTCAGAAATTAGATATTTTTATACATTTGTAATAGCTAAAATATACTGTAACAACTAGAGTAAGTAATAAATTAATGTAAGAGAATTAAAATGATTAATAAGAAAGAATTGATTGATTAGCAAATAAATGGACTGTAAAAATTATCGTTTCATTAGTCAAAATTAAATTTCAAGTAACGTTAGAAAATGCAAACAGCTAAAGCAAATGGAAAAATTAGTTTCAAATTTCAGAAATTTTTAATTTAATCATAAATTTCTACTCATAAGCTAACTAATAATAGGAATAGGGATAGGAATAATGGAAGAATGGAGGAGACAGTAACAAATAATTAGCATCGAAACAAAGGAAATTAATTCCTTTTTTTTTCACATTAACTGTTAGTTGGCAAAAGGCTTCCAGTGTACTTTGTGCCAATATTTTGCTATAAATGATGTAATTTTCAGATAGGCCTTTTTTTTTCTAGACAGACAGATGGAATAAGAAAGAATTTAATAGGAATTTGGATATCTGTCCTGTTATTAATTTCATTTATATTGTCCATTTATTACATTATTGCACTTCACCATTGATATCAGAATACATTGTATTGAAAGTCTTGTTTTAGTCGTTTTTTTTCCTCCTGTAAGATTAATTAAAAACTAGTCAAGCTTTGTCTGATATCCATCAGAATATGTAAAATGTCACATTGATTTACAATTAGCGCACGGTGACACTTTTTATGCTTTATCAAATTTAGAAATAGTCATTCATTATTTTTTGGATGAAAACATTTGAAGATATTTGAACTATTTTAGTCATTCAACAAAATTGCTATTAAAAAGTCATCTCTTTACAATAAAATGTTTATTAAATTAGTATGTTCTAAAATAAAATGAATTTCTATTCCTTATTTTAAATTCTTTTGTGTCACCCATTTAACATCTGGATAATACTGAAGAGGGGGGACAACATATATCGACGTAATTTTCTGAAAAAAAAAAAAAAAAAAAAACTCTTTTACTAATAAAATAAGAAAGAAAGAGAGGAAGAATGAATGAATGAAAGGGAGAAAAAAAAGAAAGAAAGAAAAAAAAACGAAAGAGAGATACTTTCAGGTTGTTATAAATATCGTTCGAAATTGAAACGAATTAAACGAATCGCTTCAAACGAAATAATTTAAAGCAAAAAAAAAAAAGGGAAGAAAAAAAAGGAAAAGAAAAAAAAAGATTTGAAATGAATAATTCAATGATATGGTCAGTAAATGCATATGTTAGTGGTGACACGATCACACAACTTACTACGGCGCTTTCAACTATTATGTAAGTTTTATTCTTATTTCCTTCCATTTTCTTTTTTCAATAGAAAAATTTTGCATAGCAAAGAATGATAGAGAAAATTGGCATCATCATCATCATCATCCGGTAGTGTAAGAAAAATATTCTAGATTGAATCATGATGCTTTTTCTGCACTTCCTGAAAAATGAGCTTATGAAGATTTAAGCTGTCAAACAATTTCATTTCATTCATCGGTTTTAGTTTAACTAAACTGATAACGCTATATTGTTTTTTTTTTTTTTTTTTAGTTTTAGTTAAATTGTTTCGAAAAGAAAAATTTATGTTTTTTTGCGGAATTTCTTTTTCACTTAAACTTTTACCTTTCATCAATTAATAAAAAAATTTGAATTCTTTTCTTTCTTCTATTCCTCTAACTTCTAACATATCTTTTCATAAACATTTATTATTTTGTAATAATTCATTCGTTGACATTTTATTGCTCAAAATTATTAATGGAATTTCAATCTTTCCATTCAATTTTGAAATATTTGATAAAAGTTAAAGGTGCAACTAAGTGATTTGATAACAAATTAAATAAATCAATCATGACAGTTTTGAAAATTTTACAATTTTCTTCCTAAAATTTATTGATCTCTGAAAAGAAAAAAAAAAGGTTGTCAGGAATAAAAAGTTTAATCAATCATAAATTCTAAAGTATACAAAGGCTATAATTATTTGCACTAATTATGACAGTGTCCCTATCATATTATCATCATCATTATCAAGAAATTAAACAAGACTTGTTAACTAATTGTTGTCATTCTCATTTTTAACTTTTATCATTTCATTTTACAATTTTTTTTTTTTATTTTACGCTTCATCTCTGTTTCATAAATGTAATCTTACATTGAATTTCTTCATTCATCTCTCTCTCTCTCTCCTCCTCTCTCTTATCATT